CAACAAATGGGTCGACCGCACGGACCAACAAAACTGCTCAAGAGATGTCGCGCGACCGGGCCTGCTATGTTCTTTTTCTGAGTGGGTGATTACAAGTCGCCAGGACCCGAGCAGAAACTTCATACAGGTTAAAGAAGCTCTACGACAGTCCGACGTCGTGAATAAAACCAGAAGGAGAAGAATCCAGGAGAGTAAAAATCCAACGGTACGCACTGGTCAGAGTTCTCGTCTTCAGTCGTCGGACTCTCTTAAGAGAATTCACGGATAACCGGAGAGTTCGACACGAAACTTCGCACCGTCACGCGCGTTGACGGACTCATGGCCCCTCAGCTAGCTAATATTCCAGCGCGGATAACCGCTATCATGAATTGCTGGCCGTCGCGTGTACTCAAGATAGAAAGTTCTCGTAGGAGATTTCTGAGAGCATTTTTGTCCCCGAGTGCTCGAGCGGCCGGTTGGCGATTCAGAAAGATTCCTCACTCGATCAAACCGGCGCCTGAGGAATAGACTGGCGTGAGCTCAACAGGTGCAATGTTCGTACGCACGATTTAGCCTTAAGAACATTCCCTGCATCACCTTCACCAAGAAAATACATGAGCGTCACCGCGCTACTCAGAGAAAGACGTTTTTAAATTAAACACGCATGATTACTCCGAGATCATTTTCTGGTTCACACGCGCCTTTAAGGTCCGTTATCTATTTTTGTCTCTGGGGTTACATTTGTGCTTTAGCCAGCATGAGTCGTTCTTTCCGTATTTAAACTCGTGACATTACCCCTCTTCTTGTGCTCAAGGTCGCTGGCTATAGTGTCCATGTGATAAGATCCTGCCAATCTTTGGGTGTTTTACTGTTTCAAATACCGGACGTCTCGTATAACTTTCAAACCCATTAATGCTTGTTTTCTCTCTCGTTTTCTCAGAGTTCACCCACTCCCCCTAGACTTACTGCCAAGTGTAATATATTCTGCCTTGCATTCTTTACCATAGGGACATTGTAAAAAGTGAGAGAGTTCTTTACACTATATATGACTTCATTGTTCGTGCAGTTGATCTTGTTGCGGATTGCGATCAATTGTGTGGGATGTATCTAGATCTGGCCACGAGTCAATTTACGGGATTCAACGCACCTGTGTAGCCGTGGATTCTCAAATGCCTTGTAGTTGTTGTAGGATCTTGATGAGATGAGATCGTCTTATGCTTAGAATGAACGTTTCGGCTGGTCAAACCGGTGGTTAGTCCCGGTGAATATTCATACACTCGCGCAGAAAGCCAGTAGGGAGTGGGGACAGTAGCTGTCAGCGAGTCCAAACCTCGTTAACAGCATCGCAGCGTCACTTGGCGGATAACAATATAGCTACTGCAAGATCTGATCTGGCTATTTATTCTGTAGGTCTTACGGTGTTCTTATACTCTGATGCACGTATGCTTGTCTGCTTTTTAACTTGCTACAGAATATGCATAGTGCGCATGTAAAGAACACTCCTAATTATCAAAACCTCTCCCTCCTCCCACTCTATGATTAACATGGATTAGTATCAGAACTTTGTCCGGGTTCCTGGATCATATTAGTTTTTTGGATCTAACCACCTTAGAGAAAACATCTTATGGAGGATTCATATGATACTGGTTGCATATGCTTAGTAAGTCAATCCATCCACCTAGACCACCACTACCAATTCACTCTACATCAGTGGCTCTGAAATAGTGTCGGACGAACTGGATGTGGTATAATTTTGTTCTATTTGGAAAGGCTTTTAGAAATGAAGGGGTAAGGACTGTTACCTAGTCGTGTGTTTGACGATTGTTGATTCTAGCAACTCATAGGAGAAAAGAGGGGTATGTAGAAATCGTCCAGGATTTGCGTAACCTGCGCCGATGAAGGCAAATATAACAACCCATCTCAGAAGTACCAATGCTGAATTGTCATAATGCAATTGAGAGATATTGACTGTTCATCGTTGAATTTTTTGCTGCTCTTTTCCCCTAATGAATACAATAGATCGCGTATTCTACTGACGTGCTAACCGTGCATACACAGGCAGAAAATTCTCTCGCATCCATCCAAGGGGTTGACTGGACCTGAAACATGCGGGGTATTTACCACGATGACAGGAAAGCCCCCAAAGATTCAAGAGAATAGGCCCAAAATCTTAGATATCTTCTTTATGCATGACTATGAGTTATTTAAAATGCGTTCCTAATCCGAAGTCCGATTGATTGCTATTGTTCTCTCGCTTCAATCATCACAGCATAATTAATGATTCGTCGACGGTCTTAGACAAGTATTCTGTGACTATCATATGAGATGCAACTACAAGAATCACTTCAGTATCATTTGACTCGTGTACCCTCTCCGGTTCGATTCGGATCATCCCAAGCTTGACGAATGAAGCAATCGCTTACAGGCCATAGAGAAGCCGTCACGTGATCTGTATAACTTGGCTACTCTAGCTCTCTATCTCGCATATTGAAATATAGTTCATATATATTTAGAGACTCCTTGTCTCTTTAATGAAGCGCGATAAAGGGAGTACATGATAACCCAGATTTATGTATGCGCCTCGATCCATTACTTACGCTAGAAGCTTCAAGCGTTCAATTGCAGAGAAGAGGTCAAATCCGGGAAAGGAGAAGCGATAGTCTTTCGTGAAGCCATAACGCAAATTCCCCACGGAAAGTTAGTAAGCCTTCACCAAAACCATGAGAACCATTCCATGCTCGTGCAAAGGGAGGCTATGAGTGATTAACTCCTCGATCATCATCGGATAGTAAAGTTGATTTTTCTAGAGAAGTGGGGACACAAAAGGACGTCCTCTACTGATCTTTTAGCAAGAATATCTAGTCGCGCTCCGGTATATAAGATGTAACGAAGCACTATCCGTTTAATCCCCAATCTAACAACAGAATTTTCTTCACGCCTGTTAGCCAGGCGGGACTCAAGCTATGCTCCTGAACGATGGCCAAGAACTTGCAAAATTGCATTACGTTGATTTGCCATAATTTCGCCAACCTCCATTTGGAATATGAGTGCCAAGGACCACACATGCGTGAATGTGCCAATTCAATCCATCGCTCCAAACATTTATTATGTCTTTATTTCAGTATGAATATAATCAACGAGGGATAACATAAATACTAGACAAACAATATTAGCTTGCGCTGTAAATTATTGTGCTTAAACATCATCAAAACAAAAAGGCCAACATAGTCGACTAATAAAAACTTGTAGTCGAGCTACTAAGCGACAGTTGCGCTTTTTCTAACTGTTTGCATTTGAATACGTGACTATTTATAGCTATTTTTCTTCGATTTGGTGCTCATGGAGAAAAAACAAGATAGACAATGTACACTCGGGGATGTTTGGTTAAGACTTGTCGTTTGTAGAAAATCACTTGTCATTTTCAGTGCTCTATGAATAATGTGAAAACATCCAGAAGAATATTGTATACTATGGAAATTATTGCACTTCAAAAGTAGCCTACGAACAATTGTGCTCATTTTCATACGGCGGTTCTAAAGAGTCAAAGGCTGATTTTCCCTTAGAATAAAAAGACCCTACGTTACCAAAACGGAAAATTCGTGCAAATAGTCCCCCTCACGTCCTTTGATCATTTCATACTAAG